GCCGGGGAAGGAGGACTCAGTTTGAGCAAGGGGTATGGGGGACCTTCTAGGGTGATGGGAATGTTCTGTTTCTTGATCTGGGTCACAGTTGCATAGGCATATACACATGTAAACATCTCTTGACTCATGCTCTGAAGATTTGTGTTCTTTACTATATATAAGTTACACCTCAGTTTAAAGAAAGCCAAAGGATTAGATAATTCAAGAAGGAGTGAGTGGGCAGCAGTGTTAAGTGTTGTAGAGAGATCTAGTAAGTTAATTACTGAAAAGCTAGATGTTATTTTTTTTCCCCCCCCTTTAATTCCCTGCCCCCCACTTCCACCCCTGACCTATGGATGTTGCCGTCTCCCCTTAAGAACTGGATCTCTAAAGGTGGGACATCTCTTTCCACGAGCTCGTGTCGTGACCCCAGGGCCTGGCACAGCTGGGGCCTGGCACACGTAGGGTATGGTCCATGGCTCCACCTGGAGCACGAACCTAGGACCTTCTGCGTGTAAAGCGAACATGCTAACCGCAACACTATGGAGCCACCCCCTAGATGTTATTTTCAAATGAGAACGAAAGCATCGACTTACATGATGCTAACATGTTCCTGTTAGGTGCACAGTAATTTTGGTGAATTGAATTGTTGATGGACAATAATCTTTTTCTTATTTAGGCAAGAAATACAGCCTATGAATGGATTAGGACATCTCTGGCCAAGCCCTTAGAAGAGAAGGGAGAAGGAGAAAAACAGTTGGAAGGAGAAAAAACTGAGCAACTCAATAAAAATTCAGTAGAGGTAACCAAAACAAATAAGGCTTCTCTCCCCCGCCGCCCCATCTTTAAAGATTTGAGATATGGGGGTATTGCAGTCAGGAACCTAAGCTGCTTTGTATTTCGTTTCACTGCCACCCATAATTTCTGCCTTGTGTTCTAAGATTGCAACACCTTAGTTCCAGACTGTAGAATGAAAGAAGTGAAGAAGAGACAAAGGGTACATGTGTGGTGTCATAAGGAAGTTTCTTGAAGCTGCCACAACACACTTTAAATCTTTTGGCCAAAACTTAGTCACATGGTCACACCTGACTTTAGGTCAGCCTTTGTTTTCACAGCTATGACTCTTACTGTAAAGTTATGTTACCACTATGTAAGAAAAGGTTTATTGAAGGGCAGCTATTAGTTGCTATTGCTTTCAAGCTATTGAGGCCTTCAGTATGAGAGAAGGAAGGTGCTTTTACTTTCTCAGAGATAAAAAACCGGTGCTGTGTTTTGTTATGCTTAGTTTTGTTTTTCCATTCAGGATATCCATGCATTTGCAATCCGGAGCCTAGCAGAACTGACGGCCTCTTCAATTGAACTGTTTCACAAAACAGCAGCTCTGGTTCTGCATGGCCGGAAGCAGGAAGTGACAGCCATAGAAAGGAGCAGAACTCTTTCCTTTTTTTTTAAATGATGAAAATTGCCGAAAGAGTTTTCTTGGCTTATTTCCAAAGTTTTAGAAACTTTCATCTCAACAATATGCTGTTCACACTGCACCATTCATGTATTAGAAGTTTGTTTACTTGGGGTTTTAGTTAATAAGTAGCCAAGGGTGCTGTTTCTTTTCATTGAGTCTGTATTATAAATCTTCTTTTTTTTTATATTAACTACCTCATACTCTGAAAACTATTCTTCTCAGATTATTGGTCTTAATAGGAATAGAATTTTGCATAAGTAAAAACAGAAAATAGTTCTAAGAACCTTAATTCTTAATAATAGTTGTAAGTTATTGAGTGTTAATTATAATAAGCCAGGCATCATGCTAAGGGTTACATGTATCATTTCTAAGTTTTACAACAATACTGAAGGTAAATGATTAGTCCAGCTTTGAAAATGAGGAAATGCAAGCTCAAGAGAAGTAAATCAGCATGGGTTATGCAGACTGAGATTTAAAACCAGATTTGGCTAAGTCCCAAACTCCCTTTTTCTTCCACCACAATATCACAGATTTTAAACAGAAGTTTCAAAAATAATAGAATATAGGTAGTTTTAGGAGGAAAAATAAAAGACCCACTAATTTCTAAATAAATCTCTTAATTAAATAATGAGAATTTTTATTGGGAAAAAAATGTGTGTGAGAGTGTCCATTGTGTTCGGGTTGGGAGGTGCCCTTGATATTCTTCAGACTTCTTCCCCTACAGTTTCGCTGCCCCTCTGTAACATTGTAGAAGCGGGGCCTGGTTTTATTTTGAACATCTTTGGGATGAAGGACTCAGAATCCCAAAGCAGCCTGTTCTGTGGAAAAGTAGCCATTTCTAGTCCTTGGAATGCTCTTTCAGTCATGGCTCACTCCCTCACTGAATTCAGGTTTCCATTCAAACACTGCCTTCTTTCACCACCCAATCTGAAGTAGTATCTTCTACTATTTTCTAATTCTTTACTTGCTTTATTTTCTTAGGTCATATCACCACCTAGTGTATATGTATGTATATATAAGTTTATAAATCTGTGTTTATTAAGCATACATATACACTTGCATGTACAGTGTGTTTGCATGCGTATGTCAACACATAAGTTTATAAATCTGTGTTTATTAAGCATACATATATACACCTGCATGTACAGTGTGTTTGCATGCGTACGTCAACACATACACACACATAGCCATCTACATATACTTATATGTAGTCTCTCCCTTAATTAGCAAATAAGTTAAAATCTATGAAAACTGGGACTTTGCTTGTTTACTGATAGATCCTCAGTGCTTAGAACTTGGCACAAAGGAGACTTTCAGTAAATAATTGTTTAATGAATGAATGCATATTTAACTATATTTCTAAATGGAATGTAGTACCTTTGAAACACTATCTTGTCTCTTTACTTGAAAGTATATTACTTTCTACAGGATTTTGTAGGAAATTGTTTTTCCAAGGAGTGAACTTCCTCTTCCTGTAGCATATGAACGCCTACCCAAATGGGTCCCCAAATGCATTAAGTAGCTGACTTAGGCATATTTACTCCCTTTTAAAGCTTTCTCTTTTATGTGTAGTTCTAGGAGTGATTTGTTTTCTTTTTCTTTTTCTTTTTTTTCCTGACAGTTGTTAAAAATAGCTTATTAAAAAAATGAGAAAGAAAAACAAAAAATGGAACCCTTGTGCTTTTCTCCCTTCTTTTGTAGGATGACAGTTGTGTTGTGTAAAGAGTTATCCTCTCTGTCTAAAGAATTTACCACCTGCCTAACAACTGCTGGGGTAAGAATTCATGCCTCTTATTGGGCTATTGTCTGTTTTGTTTTGTTTTTAAAACAGCTTTATTAAGATACAGTTTACATACCATAAAATATGCCCATTTAAAGTATACAATTCATTGGTTTTTCAGTATATGTACAGAGTTGTGCAGCCATCACTAGAATCTAATTTTAGACCATTTTTATCCTTCAGAAGACCTCATACCATTAGCAGTCGCTCCCTATCCCCTTCTCCTCTGCACTCTTCTAGCCCTAAGCAACACTAGTCTACTTTTCAGTCTCTAGATTTGCCTGTTCTGGATATTTAATATAAATGGGAATTGTACATTAGTAGTATTTTGTGTCTGGTTTCTTTCACTTAGCATAATGTTTTTGAGATTCATCTACATAGTATCAGTACTTCCTTTATGTTACCAAATAATACTCTTATAGATATATACCATATTTTTTAAATCTGTTCATCAGTTAATAGATACTTGGATTATTTCACTTTTTGGCTCTAATGAGTAATGTCACTATGAACAGATTCATGTATGCTTTCCTTTCTCTTGGGTGGATAGCTAGTAGTAGAATTGCTGGGTCATATGGGTGATATGGACTGTTGAGAAACTTCTAGACTGTTTTCCAAAGTGGCTGCATCGTTTTTATATTCTTGCCAGCAATGAGGATTCTGATTTCTCCACATCCTTGCCAGCACTTGTTTTTGTTTTTGTTTTTTTTAATTTTTGCCATCCTAGTAGTTATGAAATAGTATCTCATGTTAGTTTTTATTTGCCTTTTCCTTACGTCTAATGATGTTGAGCATCTTTTCATGTACTTGTCGACCATTAGTATGTCTTTTTTAGAGAAATATCTTTTTGAGTCTCTTGTTTATTTTTAAACTGGGTTAGTTGTCTTTTTATTTTATAAATTGGATTATTTATTATTTTTCTTCATTATTTAGTATTATTTTAATTATTTGTCTTTTTTTAATTTACCACTGAGTCGTAGAAGTTCTTTGTATAGTTTGCATACAAGTTATTTATTAGATACATAATATGCATATATTTTCTACCAGTCCAGTTTCATTTTCTTGATAGTGTCTCTACACAAAAGTTTTTAATATTGATGAAGTCCAGCTTGTCAATATTCTTTTTTTATCACTTGTACTTTTGGTATTGGATCTAAAGAATTATTGCCCAACCCAAGATCGTGAAGATTTACTCCTATGTGTTTTTTCTCAGAATTTTATATTGTAGCTCTTATATTTGTCTATAATCTGTTTTCAACTAATTTGTGTGTAATTTGTATGGGCATATTTTATGGTATGTAGTGTGTGTGTGTGGGGGGGGCGATTTCATTCTTTTGCATGTGGATATTTAATTTTCCCAGTATCATTTATTGAAAGCTTTTTCCTATCGGATTGTCTTGTCCTTTTATTTTTCCAAAAATCAATTGACCCTGGACAAACAGGTTTATTTTTGCACTTTCATTTCTATTTCACTGATCTCTATGTGTATCCTTATGCCAGTACCATATTGTCTTGATTAATGTAGCTTTGTACTTAGTTTTAAAATCAAGAAGGTAAGTTTTCCAACTTTTTTTTTTTCAAGGTTTTTGTTTATTTGGGACCCTATGCATTTCCATTTGAATTTTAAGGTCACCTTGTTTATATGTGATTTTCGTAACTCATTTTGTTCTCTCTTATGAAGTCTCCAGTATATTTTGTGCTGTACTCTGAAACCTGTGTTAGAAATGTAGACCTTGATAAAAAACCCCAGTATTTGACTTGAGTTTTAAGGAGTAGCACCTTACTTAGATTCTGGCAATTCTTGTGTTTTACAGTTGTCAGTGAGTGGGAGAGTTGTAGTTAAAGCTAAAGTTTTTTTTTTTGTTTGTTTGTTTTTTTAAGGAATTGTAAAAATTTACTGAAGATATGTGAACCTATGGAAGATGATTCAGAAATCAGTAATCATTAGTTAGGATAAAATAAAATCAAGGGCATTTTATTTATTTATTTAATCAAAGACATTTTAAATGAGCAAATGAAAATTGTAGTAAACCACACTCATAGATACATACGGGAAAACAGATGGGTGGTTGCCAGAAGTAGGGGTGGGCAAAATGGGTAAAGAGGGTCAAAAAGTACAGACTTCCAGTTGTAAAATCATGGGGATGTAATGTATAGCATGGTGACTATCGTTAATAATACTGTATTGCATATTTGAAAGTTGCTATGAAAATAGATCTTAAAAGTTCTTATCACAAGAAAAAAATTTTTAGCTATGTAAGGTGATGGATATTAACTAGACTCGTGATTATTTTGCAGTATATGTAGATGTCAAATCATTATTTTGCACACCTGAAACTACTATAATGTTATATGTCAGTTATTCTTCAATTAAAGTAAACATTACTTTGTAGTAAGTAGGTGTCACTGTGGTAGCATAATTATTCTGGACCTTTAAATTTATTTTAGTTAAGAGCATGGCCCAAATTAATTTTTCTTACTTTTGAATTTAGATTATACCTGAAAGGGATAATCCTGTGATAGAGCTTCTCTTTTCATCTTATATTTTCTTTAAGAAAACTTCTGAGTTTTCTGAAGTTAATCTTCTGAGGCCAAACCTTTCCATGTGTTTCATAAAGATACTTTAATCCAGTAAGTCAACTATAAGGTGCTGACACATGCGAGTATTAAATTTGCATTACTTAGTTCTGTGTTTTCCAAACAGCTTATCTTAACCGTTGAGTATATTGAGCACATGTTTCATGTCTGCCTATTTTGTTTTAATATTTTTCTAAAGTTTTTTGGTGCAATGTACCATTAGTATCCATTCCCTCTTCCAAAATGAAGATATTTAAAGTCAATAAAAAACTACAAAGGAAGACTCTGAATTTGTGTAGCACAGAAATTTAAAGCACTTCCAGAGATGACATTTTGCTCTCTCTCAGTCCAGACTTTCTGTGCTTACATTTGTATTTGGGGGCCTGTGTGTGTGTTTCAAAGTGGGATTGTACCATGTTTATTGTTTTTTTAATCTGCTGTGCACATTTAACACTGTATTCTTTATTCTAGGTCAAAGAAAAGGCAGACATCCTTAATCCATTAATTACTGCAGTATTTCTAGAGGTTAGTAATTGTTTTTAAGTCTTTAACTTCTAGGCATTTTTATTAATTCTTCTTAAGTCTTTATGTTTTGGCTTTTTTTGTTTTTTCACCAGATTAGTAGTTGATACATATATGAACAAAATGATATGTATTTGATGCATATTTACTATTCATTAATTAGAAAACGTAAAAGATGAAACAGCTGGGTAAAGTGCAAAGGAGGAAGCAATACGCTGTCATTACTTAGTACTACCATAGGCAGTTTATGGACCGTTCTCAGCAATGAAACACATTCTGGAGACCAGTGGATAAACATGAAGAGCTGAAAGTTACAAACAAAAACACTGCTTCTTAAAGGAGTAAGGTGTGTGCAGAGGATATTTGTTACAAAACAAAACATGTTGTCATTTCCTTGCCAAGAAATTTGCTGTGTTTTGTCAAAGACTTTCCTGTATTCACATAATCCTCATCAGTCCATTAGATTTAAGGAGGTATAGGTGGTTTAAGTCCATGAAAAAGAGGGGTACAAGAGGATCTCATGATGTATTATATTGCCTCCATGTGTGATGCCTTCTAGATTCTGTTTTAAGTACTCTTATCTCGTAAATTAATTGTGCAAATAATTTAGATGTTTGATTGATGATCTGTTTAAAACATTTATGTAAGTCTGGTGGGGGTGGTGGTGAGAAAATACGTTTGATAATTGGTTAGGTTTTTAACATCAGTTGAAAAATTTTTTTGCTACTGGACTGTTACATTAGTTTTTAATTCTTTTAAAATCACCACCAACAAAATGCCTTTAATTTCTTAACTGCGCAGCTTTCCTTGAATAGTCAGGGAAATTATTCTGATCACTTAAACAAATTTTTTTTTTTAAAGTAAGTTTGTGATTTAGTAGATGGCAGAGTGGTGAAAGAAGTTTGCAAGCCAGGAGCCCAGTCCTGTGCTTGATCTTCCCTGATTTGCTGTATGACCCTAGACCAGGCATATACCTTCTTGGCAATCTCATACAAAGTAAGAGGTTAGCTAGATGGTCTCTGAGGGCTCTTTTGGCTGGAAAATTCAGTATCAAATGTCACACTGAAGTTTAAATAGGAGTAGTTGCCATTGGTAAATCCAAAAAAGGTAAATTTACTTGATATGGGTTCCCTGTTGCTAGTTCAAGTTGATTGTACTTGCTTATAGATTTGTAACACTTTTCCTTGAAATTATATGTTTTTATCTTAATGTTATGAACTCTCTTGTTCTTCTTCTGGAAGGTCAGATATAAATAAAGTCCAGCAACTCTGAATATAATAATTCCATAACAACTCTTATAAATGTTTGTTGTACTAGATAGAAATATATCTATACTGTATCATCTTTGAAAGCAGTATTTCTTGTTTATATTTGTGAGCACCTGTCTCATGTTCACTGATTGTGTTGAGTCCGTGGAAGAAGAGCTATCACAACAGACAGGAAATCCTGTTGCTGTAGATTCGCAGCCTTCTGAAATCCTCTTTGAGTAATCGACTAAAATGTTGTGACAGAATCTACCCATTCAGTCAAGGAGTAAATAAGCTTTGAATGCCAAATTTGAGCAGGATGCCAAAGAGTAGCTATTACTTCTGATAGGCAAGTTGGACAAAAATACTGACATTTTTTTTTGGTGCTGTCATATCATCTTAAGAGCTAGATCATTTTTTCTCTTATAACTTTACTAAAATAGTTAAGTTTGTCCTTATTTGCCAGACTGCAGGTTCAATTAGGTTGTAAAAATCAATCTGTTTTGTTGTTGTTGTTGTTGTTGTTGTCGTCTTGTAGTATATTTTTTAAGTGACTGATATTTTGTGTTTCTTGTTTTTTCAATCCTGACAGGCATCAAATAGTGCTTCCTATATTCAAGATGCCTTTCAGCTACTCTTACCTGTACTGGAGATCTCACTTATTGAGAATAAGACTGAATTACCAGAGGCATGAATTGCAGGTCCAGAGGCCTTTGTCAGAACATTGAAGAAAGGGAAGATTTCAACCTGAGACTTGTGATGGCCAAGAAATGCCACTGTATTCTGGGTACCCTTGCGCAAGTGAGGGAGAAGGGTTATTTTAGTATATAAAAATTCAGGTAGGATAGCTGGTTTACAGGAAATTCGTTGCCTTCACTGCTTGGCTGCAGTATTCAGGTTCTCACACTGCTCTTTCCAGTTCTTATAATTAATAAATTATTTGAAGAGTAACTTTTATGAGAAAGTTCAAAAATAATAGCTCTAGAAAAGTCTAGTGCGACACCCAGGCAAAAATATTGGTCTTTCTTTGACAATCCAAAAAGCTAACAGTTTTGTCATGGATATGATTTCGTAGCCCATAGATATAACTGGTTGTTAAGCAGGAGAAAAAGAACTTAATTTACTATTCTAGAATTCACATGCTTTATATGTTAATGCTATATACATTCTCCTTTCTATAATAAAATCTGTGGTTTCAAGACATCTGAGTATATATAAACTGTAGTATTACTCTTTATTACATGAATTCTTGGAATTGGTTAGAAAGTTTCATCTGCTCTTTAATTCTCAGCAGATACCTGGCATTTAGGAAAAACTCTCAGAATATACTTTAGCCACATGAATTAAATATAGCAAAGTGCCTTTTGGCTTCAAATTGCTCTTCCACTCCAAGATCACAAGCTTCAAATTATAGTTGACCCCCACTCAACTGGATTCAAGACGAGTACGTGCAATTAAGAGAAAGAGTTGCATGTTTGCATATATTCTGAGTCTCTCAGGATGTTTTTCATGCATACCCCATGTGCAGGATAAATTCTATAATAGCCAGCTCCAAAGGAGTGTTGAAGTGCTTTTGGTAATGGGATTTTTGTTGTTTGACTATTGTCGAAATGGACTGTAGAGTCCCACAGAAATGATGCTCGTTTATGACAGGATTTAACCTGTAAGGCACAGTATATTTTTTCCTCATTCCTTTTTCTTTGTTGTTTTAATGTATCCTTTAGCATATTCATAAATATAACTTTTATCCTCCAAAGGAGTGTTGAAGTGCTTTTGGTAATGGGATTTTTGTTGTTTGACTATTGTCGAAATGGACTGTAGAGTCCCACAGAAATGATGCTCGTTTATGACAGGATTTAACCTGTAAGGCACAGTATATTTTTTCCTCATTCCTTTTTCTTTGTTGTTTTAATGTATCCTTTAGCATATTCATAAATATAACTTTTATCCTTCAGGTCTTCAGCCTTTTTTTTTTTTTTTTTCTTTCTCCAAAAGTTTATGACACTAAAAGCATATCATCTTCCTAAAAGCTATTTTGGTAGTCACTCTTTTAAAAAAGTTCTCTAACTTTGTGGTTTTTAATGATTCAGGTGACTTTTGTGAGTTCTGCCACTCATCTTCTAAAACCTTTAAATAAAGTGTAATAATCATGCCAATTTATCCTCTTATTTTTTCAAACATGAGCCCCAGTGTCTCAGACCAAAGAAATAGCAAAGCAAAACTATAATTTAGATCGATATCAAGACTATTTCTATGTAATCGCTTTATTTTGGGGTTAGGGGTCAGTTTGTAAGCAAAGAAGAAAATAAATAGATTTGGCTAAAAATGTATACCTATAGCACTAAAATGTTACTTTGTTTATATTCTGTTCTAATCAGAAAAATTTTGGAATATTTCTTTTTATAGACAAATTTCTCCCTTCCAAGTGAGTAATTCTGAAATTTCAGATAAACGGTTAACAAAGCTGTTGTCCCAAGTTCTGATTTCTTGCATCAAGCTCAGTTGCTGTGTCTGAACCTGGATCCCTTGAGGAAGGTTTAGGAACTGTTCACACTACCTACTGCCTGTTCAGGCTCTTGTATAGTGGCAGTTTGCAGTTTTTCTCTTTGCTCTAGAGATATATCTTAAGATTTTTCTTTCAAGAAGAGGGATATAGATGTTGGGAACAGAACAATGACTCTTTTTATGTGCCTATCTAGATTGCATCCCTGAATTTGACCAGTTTTAAGATTAGACCTTTAAAAGCTCAATGTGACTCACTGCCTCTTTCTCCCTCATTCCTCTCATCAGCTTCCTCTCACCCACCCAAATGATTTTTAATGGATTTAGGAGACCACCAATGAAATGATGGAAGGACCAATTAATTTCGAGTAGCAATTGCCTACCTTTCACTTAGAATATAATGGAAAAAAAAAAGTTCCTTGATTCAGTAAAGATAGAAATAAGAGCATAAACATTCATTTATAGATGAATACATAAATTCAGGGGACACTTTGGAACTTACTGGATTATGGTGATGGTTTTTGGATGGTACATGCTTCATTATTCCATTTGGGACGGGTATATGATGTAGTTTCTAGATGTTACCCACTCTTTTGGTGCTATTTCCTTTAAATTTTCTTGTGTCTAAGATTTACCACTATGTCCTAATACGTGCTACCCCACTTTCCAATTCAACTGAACCTTGATAAAATGTTCAGTTAATACTGGAATAAAAGCTTTTCTTCCTACTCTCGGGATCTTTAAAGGCTATGATTAGAAGAGACTTCAATGAACTAATTTTTGTTTTCCTTTTATAGGAAAAGAATGTTGTTAAGGGCAAGGTGTATTTTCCTTACTCGTTTTTGATAGTTTTATTTTTTTAGGTATAGATACCCAGATTGACAGGCCTCTGAAATGTGAAATTAGTGCTGATTTCCCAAATGTGAATTTTTCAGTCCTACAATCAAGAAACGAGACATTGTGGGTTTCTTCACCTGAATGAGGACCCTCTCTTTTGTACTTGTTTTTATCTAAAGAGCCATTTGAGAGAGAGATGTTTTGTAAGTAGTTGTTATTGATGTCATCATTTGAGAAAGACATTTTCCCATATATTTAGATACATTCTGAATTTTAAAGGTGAGAATATTCTTCATGTTGGTAAAACCCAGAATAAATTGTACCCACAGTGGGCGCTCAATAAGCATGATAATTACAAATATGTTAAAAGATTCAAATCTCCTGTTATGTCTTAACATAGGGTGGTGCTCATTTTCATAAAAGACTTGAAGCATGTGGGAAATGAGGAAGTTCTAAAAATAGCAAACTCTTAATATGTCATCCAGGGCTCTGGCTGATATATGATGAGAATTTTGAAAACTTGCGCATTGGTGTCACTTTCCAGCTACACCCTGATAATCCTCAAGCAGCAGTCCACTCATTCTTCTCTGTTTTACTTACGGCCCTTTTCATTACTTTTTTTCTTGTTACTACATCATCTGGCCAAAATCCCAAAGTCCTTTCATGTCTAATTATCAGTTTGCCAATCAACGCTTCAGCATTTTTTTTTTAATTGGAATATTCTCTGAACTTTTTTATCCTTTAAGCTAAAGACAAAGGAAGACTACAGTGTTTGATCACTTCACTCTTTTGCATTAATGTTGAAATTCTAGACATTTAAGTTTCTGTTTGGCCTACTCTTGTAAAGGGCAGATAGACTATAAAGTGAGTGAAATCATGTTTTTACTTGTCAGTCTCCCATATATTTGTCTCTTTCTGTATACACTGGCCATTACTATGCTCTTAAGCTAGTTCTAAAGGGGAATTTGTTTTCATGACTTGACTATGAGTGCACCAATATGCTTAATTTTTTAAAGTACATCTTAAGTTGGAATGGAGTAGTTTGTCAATACCAGGCACCATGGGATATACTTTCCTTTGTAAATCCTAAAACTGCTCTGTGAGGCAGGACAGCGCCCCCCGCCCCGCCCCCGCCCCCCCAATTTATGGGTTTGCAGGATGGTGTAGAAGTTAGGTGCAGACAGACTCAAAATTGAATCTCAGCTCCCTCATTTTCTAGCCCAATAATCACGAGTAAGCTGCTTAATCCCTTAAACTGCAGTTTTGTCATCTGTAAAACTGATCTCATTATAGCACTTGTATTATAAAGTCATCGATAGAATTAGTTAAAACTGTCTGTGTAAAATAATGCCTGCCATATAGCAATACGACCTAATGCTTAGTGAACACAATGTGCCAGGCACTGTTCTGAACATTTTGCATGTATTATTTTAATCCTCATTATGAAATAGAAACTATTAGCATGCCCATTTACAGATGGAAAAGCTAAGGCAAGAGAGGTTAAGAACTTGCCTGAGGTTTTGGTAGAGTCAGAATTCAAACCCTGGCAGTTTGGTACCAGAATTTCTGTTTTTAATCATTAGATTACACTGCCACCATAAGCTATTAGTAAAGAAGCCTTAACAACTGTTAACTACTTTGTTATGATGATTATGAAACAGATTTAGAGAGTTAAGTGACTTTTTTTGAGATTTCACAACTCTAAAAGGCAGTGCGAGCCCAGGTTGTCTGGCTTCCAAACTTATGTTTGTTCTATTTTATTTCTTTTAGGAGAAAAGCTTGGAGGTGCCTGTCTGGTGATAAATATCTATTGGTGAGCTTCTGGGCAGATATTCCAAAGCTGCTAGAGTTGGCATAGAAAGGACAGTATGGTGACAATTCACGTTTGCAGCAGCAGGAACAAAGATCTCAGTGAAGTAAGAGCACCTGTATCAATTAGTGATCAAAGGGAGAGAGGAGTACATGAATGTTCATAGCAGCTTTATTTGTAATATCCCTAAACTGGAAAATATGCAGATTCCTTCAAGTGGGTAAATGATTAAACAAACTGGTACATCCATACAATGGATTAGTACTCAGCAATTGAAAGGAATAAACTACTTACTGATACATGTGAGAAGTTGGATGAATCTCAAGGGAATTAGACTGTGTGAAAAAGTCTAATCCCAAAATGTTACATACTATGTAAATCCATTTATATAACATTGAAATAACAAAATTATAGAAATGGAGACCCGATTAATAGTTGCCAGGGGTCAGGAATGGGTCTAGGGGAAGAGGTAGGTAGGTATGGGGGATCCTTTTGATGGAGTACCTTGATTGTGGTAGCTACACAGACCTACTTGTGATAAAGTATATATAATTGAATGTACACACATATGTACACATACACGCAAATGAGTACAGGAAAACAGGACTCTGAGATAGGTGGATCGTACTGATGTTGATGTCCTGGTTGTGAAATTATATTTTAGTTTTGTAAGACATTACTATTGGGGGAAATTGGGTAAAGGGTACACAGGATCTCTGTTTCTTACAGTTGCATGTGAATCTACAGTTATTCCAATAACTATTTCAATTAAAAAAGAAGAAAGAGGAAGGCTTTGGGCCAAGGGAATCAAAAAATATTGCCCATTTCCTGGATTTAAGAAGACCTAAGGGTACTCTCTCCCAAGTGAATGTCCCTTTCA